CTGGGGGTGGGGACGCTATCCGTTTCGGGCTCGCAAAGCGTGGCAGGCGTGGCACTTCCTCGACACCACAGGGGGGGAGCTTTGGGTGGGGACGCTATCCGTTTCGGGCTCGTAAAGCGTGGCAGGCGTGGTACTTCCTCGACACCAGAAGGGAAGAACTGTGGGTGGGGATATATCCGTTTCGGGCTCGCAAGGCGTGGCAGGCGTGGCACTTCCTCGGCACCACAGGGGGGAGCTGGGGGTGGGGACGCTATCCGTTTCGGTCTCGCAAAGCGTGGCAGGCGTGGCACTTCCTCGACACCACAAAGGGGGACCTGTGGGTGGGTACGCTATCCGTTTCGGGCTGGCGTGGCACTTCCTCGACACCACAAAGGAGGAACTGTGGGTGGGGACGCTATCCGTTTCGGGCTCGCAAGGCGTGGCAAGCGTGGCACTTCCTCGACACCACACGGGGGGGAGCTGTGGGTGGGGACGCTATCCGTTTCGGGCTCGCAAAGCGTGGCAGGCGTGGCACTTCCTCGACACCACAAGGGGTGCGCTGGGGGTGGTCTCCCTATCCGTTGCGGGCTCGCAAAGCGTGGCAGGCGTGGCACTTCCTCGACACCACAGGGGGCGCGTTGGGGGTGGTCTCCCCATCCGTTGCGGGCTCGCACAGCGTGGCAGGCGTGGCACTTCCTCGGCCCCACAAGGGGTGCGCTGGGGGTGGTCACCCTATCCGTGACGGGCTCGCAAAAGCGTGGCAGGCGTGGCACTTCCTCGGCACCACAGGGATTGCGCTGGGGGTGGTCTCCCTATCCGTGACGGGCTCGCAAAGCGTGGCAGGCGTGGCATCTCCTCGACACCACAGGGGGTGCGCTGGGGATGGTCTCCTTATCCGCTGCGAGCTCGCAAAGCGTGGCAGGCGTGGCACTTCCCCGACACCACAGGGGATGCGCTGGGGTTGGTCTCCCTATCCTTGACGGGCTCGCAAAGCGTGGCAGGCGTTGCACTTCATCGACACCACAGGGGGTGCGCTGGGGGTGGTCTCCTATCCGTGACGGGCTCGCAAAGCGTGGCAGGCGTGGCACTTCCTCGACACCACAGGGGGGGGCGCTGGGGGTGGTCTCCCTATCCGTTTCGGGCTCGCAAAACGTGGCAGGCGTGGCACTTCCTCGACACCACAAGGGGTGCGCTGGGGGTGGTCTCCTTATCCGTTGCGGGCTCGCAAAGCGTAGCAGGCGTGGCACCTCCTCGACACCACACGGGGGGGAGCTGTGGGTGGGGACGCTATCCGTTTCGGGCTCGCAAAGCGTGGCAGGCGTGGCACTTCCTCGACACCACACGGGGTGCGCTGGGGGTGGTCTCCCTATCCGTTGCGGGCTCGCAAAGCGTGGCAGGCGTGGCACTTCCTCGACACCACAGGGGGCGCGTTGGGGGTGGTCTCCCCATCCGTTGCGGGCTCGCAAAGCGTGGCAAGCAATATGGCGTTGGATGACACATAGGGAAACATTCGCGACGGCGGCTCAGAACGCAGGATTGCGCATATATTAAAAACATTCGCAAGCACATCATATTTAAATTAAGTATGTGGGGTTCTTCGGTAGCGTAATTATATTGTTCGGAACCCGTCGCGCGCATGAGCGGGCAAGTCTGGTTGACCGTTCAGTGGGGGAACCGTCCAATATAAATACATGTGAACGAACATGGAACACGAGGTGAAACAATGCGGAACAATGACAAATAAAACAGATTGCCGCAGATGGACATCGTAGTGGAGGCCCCTTCGGGCCTCGGAGGCTGGGGGCCTCTCGGAGCTTCCTGGAGGCCTCACGGGGCCGAGGGCTCGAGGTGTCCGTGCGGCTCTGAGGCCGTTCTGGAAGTCTCTTAGGCAATCTTTCTCCTCCTCCTCCTCCTCCTCCCTCCTCCCTCCTCCTCCTCCCTCCTCCTTCTCCTCCTTCTCCTCCTCCTCCTCCTCCTCCTCCTCCTCCCTGCCCCCTCCTCCCTCCTCCCTCCTCCCTCGTCATGGGCCGTTCTGGCCGTCTTCGCGCGATCTTCGATCCTGGAGGGCCTGCGGCGAGCCGGCAGGGCCCCGGGCAGCCCGGGACACTCACCTTGGCGGTCGAGGGCGAGGCCCCGGGCCCCCCGGGCCCGGTGCGCCGCTGTAGGTCCATGTGTGTGTGTGTGTGTGTGTGTGTGTGTGTGCGCCGCTGTAGGTCCATGTGTGGGAGGTCTTCTTCGGAAGGAGGCAACTCTGGGAGGTCTTCGTCGGGAGGACTGAGGAGGCATGCGTCAGGGAGGTATACGTTAGGCAACTGCTGGGCCCCTACTATGGAGGCATACGTCAGGGAGGCATACTGTGTCGTCGGGCAACTACTGGGAGGCATACGTTAGGAGGCAACTGCTGGGAGGTCTTCGTCAGAAGGACTCAGGAGGATTGAGCCCCATCGGGGAGCTGTTATCGGGAGCGGCAAAGAGGGGGGCGTCAAAGAGGTGGGGGTGCAAATCATGACCAGCGGCATGTGGGCGGCCCAGCGGGGGGCCAGGGACGTAATGAAATATGAAGAGGCGCCATGAAATCTGAGAAATATCATGGCACCCGCCATGATATCCCCCCCCCCCCTAATCATCACCCCCCTCTTTGCCGCCCCCGATGTTACGTCGGAGCGGGCCTCGGATTAAGCGGGATCAAGCCGGATTCAGCGGGATTCAGCGGGCTAAAGCCGGATTTCGGACAAGGGCAAAATCAGAATTTGATCTCCCAGGAGTTGCAATCTCTGATACGACTGTGCCAAGTCTTTGATTCTGTATGATGTCTGGGATTCTCTGAAACGACCAGCCCAATCGCTGAAACGACGCTTCGCGGTCTTTGAAACTGCTATCGCAGCTTATGAACGTCTGTTCGGTTTTTGAACTTGTTTCAGTTAATGTGTATCACGTCGGTTCGTCTTGTCCCTTGCTGGAAGAAAGTGTCGTCATCCCTGTTCTTCTGTTGGTCTGTTGCCGCCAGAAGTCCGCCAAAACTCCATGGGTAACGAGGGGTCCAGGACAAACGTGTAGGCGGTCCATTCTGGGGGAGGGGGAGGACCATGATCAAGAGGATGACAAGGAGGGTGAGGTGGAGAAGGTGTGCTTTCCCAATCCCCCTGTGTTGGGTTCTCGTTTTGAATAGAGCGCTGCTTGGTCGTCTCTGTCCTTCCTCCTGCCTCCTCCCTCCTCCTGCATCTTCCCTTCCTCCTCTTGCCTTCTGCCTCCTGCATGCATGCTGCTCTTTTTCCCACCCCTCCTGCGCTGCGTTCCCGTTTTGAAAAGAGCACTGCTCGCGCATTTCTTGTCTCCCGCGCCTCATCCCTCCTCCTGCCTCGTACCTCCTATCTGCGTCTTTCCTGTCACGCGGAGCTGCGAACTGCGCAACCGTCGCCACTTTTGTGGGCTCCTGAGAGGCCCAGCGGAGTGACGTCAAACGGAGACCTAATCGAGACCCCCACCTTCCGGAAAGACTGCGAACCGCGCAGGTGTTGCCACTTTCGTGGGCGACTAAGAGGTCCAGCGCAGTGACGTCACACAAGGGCACCCACACGAGGCCTCGCCCTCCCCGTGGGGCTGCGAACTGCGCAACTGTCACCACTTTCGTGGGCTCGTGGGAGGCCCAGCGGGGTGACGTCACACGGAGATCAAAACGAAACCCCGCCCTCCCCGAGGGGCTGCGAACTGCGCAACTGTCGCCGCCGTCGTGGGCTCCTGGAAGGCCCAGCAGAATGACGTAAAACCGGGACCCACAGGTGACTTCGCCCGGGGCTGCGAACTGCGCCACTGTCGCAACTTTCGTGGGCTCCCAAGAGGCCCAACGGAGTGAGATCATACGGGGACTCAAACGAGACCTCGCCCTCCCTGCGGGGCTGCGCACTGCGCAACCGGCGCCACCTTCGTGGGCTCCTGGGAGTCCCAGCGGGGTGAGATCGTACAAGGGACTGAAACGAGACCTTCGCCCCCCACGCCGGGCTGCGAGCCGCGCCATTGTTGCCATTTTTCCGTGGGCTCCTGGGAGGCCCAGCGGAGGTGGGGGGGGCGCGGATCGTTTGTCGAGACCTCGCGGCCCCTCGCGCAGGTGTCGCTACGTTCGTGGGTTCCTGGGGGGCCCAGCGGAGCGAGGGGTCGCGCGGATCTAGTCGAGACTTTTTGGCGGAACGTGTAATGAGATGTACCGAAGACCCGTCAGCGTGTTCTCTTTTGTGCTAAGCGGTCCTGCTTCTACAATCGAAGCTCGACCACAAGAAACCTTCCACAAGAAACCCAACCCTCAGACCCCAGGACGCTCACCGACTTTTGGTGGGAACGTCCCGCTTTCCATAGCAAAACCATCGAAACCGAGGGCACCCTGGAAGCAAGCAGGGTGTTTCTTGGCATGGGCCTCCACTGCAGTCGCATCGCGTTTAGAATGGGTTGGGCACGTCTCGGGCAATCTGGTTCTCGACGTCGCCGCTAGGGCCTGATTCGGGCGCCATCGGGGAACGCCCCGTCGTCATCTCATGCACATTAACGTGGTGACACTGTGCTTGGAACATCAAATTGCATTCACTCTGAGATGTGACGGCTTGCCACTAATCAGGGCAACTTGGAGCTCAACGACACGACGACATTATCGGCTGCAAACTTGGTCATCCACGGCGCTTGGGTGTGATAGGGACGATGAGGACCACAAACAATAATATCATATACAAGAGAACGCCGGCGTATAATACCAATCTCTATAGATTCGTACGGGGCTGGGGTTCCAACTCGTAGAATGGGGGCTGCTGGATAGTCCATTGCTCCGGGACTTTGCGAGGGCAAATCCTGGCATTGCCTGCCTCCTCTGAGAAATTATTACTTCTTCAGGACTGCTCGAAGTCGCCACGAGGTCTCCAAGGAGACGCTGGGGGCAACGCTGGTGGGACTTCTGTGAGAACAGCCCGTTCGAAATCTGATCCCCGGACCACCGCGAAGACCCTGGAGGTGAGACGCGCTCTCGCCCGCTCGCTTTTTTGCTCACGAGGACGTTGCGCGCCGTAGCTGGCACCCTCCCCCGCAATGCCCTCGACTACAACCCTGAGATCCGACGTTGCGACATGCAACGTTGCGAACAATCACCTCCTGAATCCCCCCAGGTCCCATCATTCGGTGGCAATTTTTAAACCGGATCGATCTGTGAGGGTCCCTGGGCCCGAAACAAGGCAAACTCGCCCGTTGTGAAACTAATTGCGACGCCAAGATCTCAGGGAAACTACAACCCCGCGCCTGGCGGCGCGTGCGCGCAAACCGAACACCATCGAATTCTGCAAACTCGTGCCGCGGCCTACGCCCTGCTGGTGGGGCTCTCGCGGTTCCCTCTCCCGCGCGCTCGCGGGCAAGACTGATATTCATGTCCGTTGCGTCTCGGATCTTCTGAATCTTTTCGCCTGGAAACCCGAGGCGCAAAACATGTACATATACTGGGGGGCGGGTCCGGGGTCCGGCGCATCGACAGCAAATGCGGGGCCCGGGCGTCATTTCACGACCACCCTGTGGTGTTGAAGAGACGGTGCCCCGCTCCTCCTCCTCCTCCTCCTCCTCCTCGTCCTCCTCCTCCTCCTCTTCTCCTCGTCCCTCCTCCCTGCGCTTCACCCACCCAGTATATCGTTTCGTGGCCCCACGAGGAGCTCCTCCGAAGGCTCCAGTGGCAGGGTTCGCATGGCGGCCTCGGGCTATTTCGGCACACCCCTCACGAGGATCGTGGCCCCGTAGGAAGCTCCACCGAAGGCTCCAGTGGCAAGGTTCGCACGGCGGCCTCGGGGCATCTCGGCGCACCCCTCACGAGGATCGTGGCCCCGTAGGGAGCTCCACCGAAGGCGCCACTGGCAGGGTTCGCACGGCGGCCTCGGGCCATTTCGGCACACCCCCCACGACGATCGTGGCCACGTAGGGAGCTCCACCGAAGGCGCCAGTGGCAGGGTTCGCACGGCGGCCTCGGGGCATCTCGGCGCACCCCTCACGAGGATCGTGGCCCCGTAGGGAGCTCCACCGAAGACCCCCAGCGGCAGGGTTCGCACGGCGGCCTCGGGCCATTTCGGCACACTCCTCACGAGGATCGTGGCGCTACATGGAGCCCCACCGAAGGCTCCCAGTGGCAAGGTTCGCATGGCGGCCTCGGCAATTTCGGCACGCCCCTTACAAGGATCGTCACCCCGCAGGGAGCTCCACCGAAGGCGCCAGTGGCAGGGTTCGCGCGGCGGCCTCGGGCCATGTCGGCACACCCCTCACGAGGATCGTGGCCCCATAGGGAGTCCCACCGAAGGCTCCAGCGGCAGGGTTCGCACGGCGGCCTCGGGCAATTTCGGCGCACCCCTCACGAGGATCGTGGCCCCGTAGGGAGCTCCGCCGAAGGCGCCAGTGGCAGGGTTCGCACGGCGGCCTCGGGCAATTTCGGCGCGCCCCTCGCGAGGATCGTGGCCGCGTAGGGAGCTCCGTCGAAGGCGGCGGGGCTCGCATAGCGGCCTCGGGCCATGTCGGCACACCCCTCACAAGGATCGGATCGTGGCCCCGTAGGAGCTCCACCGAAGCCTTCAGCGGCAAGGTTCGCGCGGCGGTCTCGGGGCATCTCGGCGCGCCCCTCGCGAGGATCGTGGCCCCGCAAGAGCTCCACCGAAAGCGCCAATGGCAGGGTTCGCATGGCGGCCCCGGGCCATTGCGGCTCACCCCTCACGAGGATCGCGGTCCCATAGTTGTGCTGCTTCAAGAGCCGCGCCTGGGCATCCTTCTCCGCCTTGTCGACGTGCGACGCCGCCTCTCCCCCCGTGGCTCTCAAAGCCCTCTCCTGCTTCTGCTCCTCGGTCAGAGGGGCGCCGTACTTGTCGTCGTCGGCGCCCGCGAAGACGGCCACGAACGTGTTCCTGAGCATGTCGGGCTCCTGCGGGAAGCCGTGGCCACTTAGGGAGCGCGGGCGAAGATGGTATTCACAACTGCGGTATTCACAACTGCATATGGTTGGGTCCTTCGCCATGCTAATTTCCTCTTATTTTTTGTTGCAAGGTTTCGGCTACCTGGGGCCAACAAGGCCCCAAGAGGCTGCAGGGGGGCCCTAGGAGGTCGCAGCGATTGCCCCAGACGCCTTTCAAGACGATTCCCATGACGCCAATAAGGCTCCCGAAGGCCCCGAAAACGCTCCAAGGGGCACCCCCATAGAGCCCCAACAAGCAAACATCGTCGTCTTCCGATGGAAAACTGATATTCTTGGTGTGTTCGCCTTTTGGGCTTCCACTGCGTCCAAGACGGCCCAAGAGGCACCCAAACCGGTCGAGGATGCCCCCAGGAGGGCTCCAAGACGGCCCACGAGGGGGCCAAGACGGCCCACGAGACGCCTAAACCGTTCAACAACGCCCCAAGTCGGCGCCCCAAACGGGGACGAGGAACAGAAAATGCGAGCCATTTGACCCAAGAGGCCCCCAGGAAACCGAAGAGACCAGCAAAAACACAAAAAGAGTCCCGCTTCCACTGCGTCCAAGACGGCCCACGCGGCCCCCAAGACTGCCCTACAGGCTCCCAAGAGGGCTCCAAGACGACCCCAAGAGGGTCGCAAGACAGCCCGAGAGGTCCCCAAAACAGCCCAAGAGAGCAACAGGACGAGCCCCAGAGGGGTCCCAGAGGGGCACAACCATATTCAAATTCCGAGCTTTCGGCCCCAGAGGCTCCCAGGAGGCCCCAACAGGTCCCCAGGAGGCCCCGAGAGGCCCCCCAGAGGCCCCCAGAGGCCCCCAAGAGACCCCCAGGAGGCTCCCAAGAGGCACCCCAATAAAGCCCCAACATCGTCGATTTCCTATGGGAAAGCTGCTATTTTCGGCGTGTTCGCCTTTTGGGCTTCCACTGCGTCCAAGACGGCCCAAGAGGCACCCAAGCCAGTCGAGGATGCTTCCAAGAGGGCTCCATGACGGCCCACGAGGGGGCCAAGACGGCCCACGAGACGCCTAAACCGCTCAACAACGCCCCAAGTCGGCGCCCAAGACGGGGACGAGGAACCGAAAATGCGAGCCAGTTGGCCCAAGAGGCCACCCAAGAGACCCTAAGAAGCTCCAAGGAACGCCCAAGAAGCCCCAAGAGGTCCCGAAGAGACCAGCAAGAATACAAGAAGAGTCCCCGAACACGCCCCAAGGGGCATTCCAATAGAGCCTGAATCAGCAACAATCGTAGATTTCCTATAGTGTAACTGATGTTTTTGGCGTTTTCGCCTTTTGGGCTTCCACTGCGTCCAAGACGGCCCAAGAGGCACCCAAGTCGGTCGAGGATGCCCCCAAGAGGGCTCCAAGACGGCCCACGAGGGGGCCAAGACGGCCCACGAGGCGCCCAAACCGCCCAAGAACGCCCCAAGGTGGCGCGAGGAACCGGAAATTCGCGCCTTTCGGCCCCAGAGACCCCCGGGAGACCCCAAGAGGCTCCAAGTAGCGCCCACTCTCCAAGAGGCCCCCATGAGACTAGAAAAAACACCAAAAGAGGCCCCGAAGACGCCCCAGGAAGCACCCCAATAGAGCCCCCCCGGCCCCGGGCCACACCTCCCGTAACATCTCGGGAACGCTCCCAGTACCGCTCCCCCGGGCGTTCTGGGGGGCCTCCACAGCGCTCCAGGAGGGCCCGACCCCAGAATGCGAGAGGATGGTCCAAAACGCTCCCAAGCAGCTCAAGTCAGCCTTCCGACGGCTCTCGAGGCTCCCAGGTAACCTCCAAGAGGAACCAAGAAAGATCCGAGAGGCGTCCCGGGGCGGCCCGAAGAGGCCAAAATCGTAGATTCTCATCTTTTTATTAAACAAAAAACATCATCATCATCATCATCATCATCATCATCATCATCATCATCATCATCATCATCATCATCATCATCATCATCATCATCATCATCATCATCATCATCATCATCATCATCATCATCATTATCATCATCATCATCATCATCATCATCATCATCATCATCATCATCATCATCATCATCATCATCATCATCATCATTATTATTATTATTATTATTATTATTATTATTATTATTAGTATTATTATTATTAGTATTATTATTATTATTCGTATTATTATTATTACTACTATTATTCTTCTTCTTCTTCTTATTATTATACTTTTTTTTGTGGGGGGGCTTCTCGCGTTTTCGAGCTTCCAACGATCCAAGAGTGCCGACGAGGCTCCCAAGGCCGCCCCATGACCACCCAAGAGACCCGCAGGACGGCCCCAAGACGGGCCAAGCAGGCTCCAAGACTGCCGAAGAGGCGCCCAGGACAGTCCCAGACCACTCCAGAACAGGCCCAAGATGGGGCCAAGAGCGGGAGCAAGAGGCTTCCAGAGACCTCCGAAAGGCCTCCGGGACCACTCAGAGGCCCCCAACACACCCCCGATCCCTGAGAGGCCCCAGAAAGACTCCGACGAGGCTCCAAGAACAGCCGGTTTTTTGTAAGAGGGAATTCCCAGAATCCCTTTTTTTCAAAAAGGGACTCCTACTCGGGGGTCCTACACATCCCCTGACATCTAGCCGAGACCACGTCTCCCGGCTTCCCGGGGGGAGACCCTAAGTCGCCGAAGGTGCCCATGACGACCCCAAGGAGCCCCCAGAACGTAAAGAACGGCCCAACACGCTCCCGCGCAGCCCGCGACACCCTTCCGACGGTTCTCCAGGCCTCCAGGAGGCCTCCAGAACCCCCAGGGGGTCCGGAAGATCCCACACCCCTGAGGGGCCCGGCGAACAAAACCCGCGAGGCACAAAGAAAACACAGCGCCGAACAGCGCCCAGGAACTGGACTAACATGGAAATCCCACAGTTCCTGTTTTTTTGTAAGTTTGGCCCCCGGTCTACTCTTGCACAACAGGCCTCAATTCAGACCCCCCTCATCTCGTTAAAAAAAACAGGAAGCCTTTGAGGGCCCCAAATCGTTGAACACCTAGAAAAGAAATTGATAATTTCTGCGTTTCCGCGTTTCCCCTTCTATGCGATTCCGAGGCTTGCGCAGGGCCTCCAAGGGAGTCCCTGGACGCAAGAAGCGACCAAAATGAGATGACATGAGTTAGCCTATCAAGCCTAGCTAGAACTTGAGCGCGCGCGAAGCGCGCGATGACTCTAGTATAGATCTACATCT